CTAGACCTCAACCAAAAGTGAGGTCAACAGTTAGGTAGCAATTTACTCAAAAGATTAGTGGTTGGATCATTCTAAATGGTTGGGGAAAGCATGAGCTTTAACATAGGCTGCAAAATATAAGACCAGATTTCTCATAACGCTCTTGAGCAGTACCAAAAGCAAAAGTTCAACAATCAATCTCAGGAGATTATTTAGATGAGTTAATCATTTAAATAATGATTTGATTTGATTTCTATCTTCATCATCGTGATTCTTCAAGATTATTTTGGTGTATGTTTAGATGAGTTATTACAACTGAAGCATCTGGTTAATGCCCACAAGATAACCTCTCCTCAAATTATCATCTCTCCAGTTCAATTTGCATTTCCAAAAGATAGTGAGTTACATAGATAAAAGCAAGAGTAGATGGAAATGAAATACTATTCTTTTGCATCATATTTCATCAAATATACTTAAATTTTCTTTCATAAAGTTATAACTTACAAAAAATTAAGTCACATCTTCTGTCACACACACACACACACACACACACACACATACACAGATGGTAGGCATGCCATTCTTGAGCTCATATGCATCATATTAATTTCTTACCATGAAACACTGTACTCAAAATTAGCATATAATCATTCATTCTCATATAGGTCATATAAAAAATCTTTCACCTGTTCACTATCAATCTATTTAAGTAAGCTCTTTAACGTGTTCTCATACAAGAGAAGTTATTATATATATAAAATTGTGTATCATCTTATTTGGCCACCATGTCATTATGAAAATTCACATTACTCATTTATATAAGTTATCAAACATAAATATATATGTGCATGTATATATATATATATATATACATTTACATACTTATTGACTTCTGCTCATTATCTTTCAATTTATTTAAATAAGCTTATTGACTTGCTCTCATACAAGACAAGTTTTTATATCTATAAAATTGTGGATCTTCTTATTAAGCCACCATTACATCATGTTAATTAACATAGTCATTTATATAAGTTATCAAACGTAAATATATGTATACATATACAAACTTATTGATGCTCAAAATAGTTGTCCGTTCTCTTTCTATCTATTTAACTAAGCTCATTAACTTGCTCTTATACAAGAAATTTTTTTATCTATAAAATCATGGATCATCTTATTAAGCCACCATTTCATCATGTAAATTCACATTAATCATTTATATAAGTTATCAAACATAAATATATGTATACATATACAAACTTACTGATGCTAGAAACAACTGTTCGTTCTCTTTCTATGTGTTTAAATAAGCTCATTAACTTGCTCTCATACAAGAAAAGTTTTTATATCTATAAAATCGTGGATCTTCTTATATAGCCGCCATTATATCACACATAATCATATTAATCATTTATATAAGTTATCAAACATAAATATATGTGTGCATATACAAACTTATCGTTGGCCAAAACTGCTTTTAAGCAATCACACAAATATATGTGTCACTCAAGTAATATACATATTTAAAATTGTGTGTTGTTCCTGTATACTTGATTGCTTAGCAGCAGTTTTGGGAAAAAAATTAGTCTACTGGTTTTAAGTTTAGATACATTGGGTTGCATCCTAATAAGTGCTTAGATTTATGCCCTTAGCCTAATCAAAACACACATATATAATTACACAAACATGAAATTAGACAATATGATAGCATTTAGGTAGCCACTCAAGAAGTACTTGGTTTTATGTTATCAGCCTGACACAGTCAGTTCATTCCTAAGATTTTTCTTCAGGATCAAATTACCTTCTAAATAGCCCATCATCAAAATCCCAATATTTTGGCCTCCTTGGAGAATTCCCTATATCGTACATTTTTTTCTCCCATTTTATCTTTTCTTTGAAATAGGCTTAACATCATATTCTCCATCTTCTTTTCAATATCTCTTGCAACTTCTCTCATTCCAATCAACGATGGTCTTCATGGGGGATAAATAGAGGTGGGAATAAGATTATAGATTTGAAAATTCAATTCTTGATCATAAGCTCTATCAGTTAATTCTTCTTTTTGTAGGTCAATATTTGCCCTACCCATTCAAGAAATGGTGTTCCAAGAATAATTAGGATCTATACATCTTCTTCACTATCTAATGCAATGAAATCACCTGTCCTGCAATAATCAAGTGAGATCGCATGATTATGGCTAATCCACTGGTCATCGTGCCTTGAACAACAACCGTAGTCTAAAAAATAAAGTTTATGTATTGCCTAATACTAGGGTGAATGCACTAAGAGTGACACTTGTCATAATGGTATGTCGGGGGAAATCAAACTTCAACTTCTACCGCTGCTTTTCCCTCATCGCTTTTGCTCTGGAGGCCTTGTTGTCCTCCGAAACCCTAGAGTAACCCTGGGTCATCTTCCCTCCATCCCTTGGTTCACCGGCCTTTCCACGGTATACTGGGGAACTGACATTGGACTCCCTTCTAGTACCTCGTGGATGGCCTAAAGATTGGTTGCTAAGGCTTTCAGCTTGGTGCCTACCCCCTTTCAAGGGCGAGTGATAATCTCATGGTCGTCGAACTTAGAGCCAACTAAGAACTTCTTCCTCCAGTCTTTGATCTTGTTTTCAACATCAAGCAAGCAAAGTTTTCACCCTGGCGAAAACATAGCAAACCCATCTTAGTCAACCTTAAAGGAGAAGTAATTGATAAAAATGTCGATTGAACAAGGGATACCAAAATGATGACAAAACACGACGAAAGTCATGATGGCCGTGTCACAGTTCGACAGAACTTAGGCCAGAATGACCCTAAAGTTGATAAGCACGCTTCTGAGCTCCGACCATAAGGACCGTCGAAGACCGTACCTAAACTGATATTGGTAAAACACAGATCAGGGCTAACGTCATCTGTCAGGCTCCCCACGACTGACATCATACTGATGGTAATCTAGGTACCTGAAACATATCGCTTCTAAAG